TTTATGCTTTATTTTGAAAATCAGAGTATAGTTTAAAGAAATATGTTGCGGAATTTGTTCCCAGAAAAACATGATAAATATATCATCAAATCATTTCCGAAGAAATGTATTTTATTCCTTTTTAAAACGTTAGGATGTCATCGTCAATACAGAAACATAAGCATAAACAGACCTTACATTCATTTACACTAGTGATCTACATCTCCTTAGCCTCTCAGTGTAATGTAGCTTCATATCGACACCTGTTATACAAATAAGCTTGAGTGGGTCATGTTGGGAAACCTGGTGATTACATAGGGTTTTCAACCCACAATAATATAATTATTATGTTTAAGCATCAAACAATTAACCCAATTACCCATCCCCAATATCTTCTTTATTCTTAAGGGTCTACCCTAAGAATCATTTATCCTACATTCCTTCAATTCGAAGTCCATTGCTTCCAGGGTTTATACGACAGGCACTAAGTCCATAGTTGCCGATACTCATTCGTAAAGCACTAATTCCATAGCTGCTAAAGTTCATTCATCGGGTACTAAATCCATAGCTACCAATGTTTATCTAATAGGTACTAAGTCCATAGCTACCAACGTTTATCTAACAGCTACTAAGTCCATAGCTACCAACGTTTATCTAACAAGTACTAAGTCCAGCTACCAGCGTTTATCCAATAGGCACTAAGTCCATAGCTGTCAATGTTATTTATTAGGCACTAAGTCTATAGCTGCCAATGTTCACTCATATCATCTTTCATCTCTCATCATTCATCTACCCATGTTTTACCCAACATATTCGTAAATATAAAATACATATACAGTTTAAATTATTTAAAACATGTATAAAATCGTTCATCCAGCATAGATAGCAAAGATACAGGTTATATGCACACATAGCACGTAATTTATATAAAATACTTCATATCTATGTGTAAGATGAAAGTAACTATACACTCACTTGTTAAAGTGATGATTCCAAACTCGGGCAGCGCTTCGCTTCTAACGATTCTATTTTCCTTCGACGAAACCTAGCATTATTATTGCTAAATCTCAGTCTAATCTTTATTGCGACTAATTATCAGTCTAGATTCATCATTAACTCAAAGTCTACTTCATGATCTATCAAGTAAGGAACAACCAGGTAGGATCATATCGGAGGTAGGGTCCGTTTGGTATACGAAGTATACTGTTTGGAAATCTCACTTTAAACACCTCACTAAATCACAGCCTAGACATCATCCCCGTAAGTAGATCAATCAGTATAATGACTTGGAATCAGTGATAAATCATGTTTATAAGTTCATAATAACGATAATGAACTTAAACATAAGTTATACCTAAAGTAGGGTAAGCATAACTCACTTACAGCGGGTTTTTATTAAAAACCGGGCTTCGTTGGAGCAGCGTTTCCGAGCCGAAAAGCTCTTTTCTCAGAGCCTTCGGGAGCCTCGGGGCTTCCTTCGGGTGCTAGGGGGTTTTCCTAGGCTTTAGGGGGTTTAGGGGGTTAGAGAGAGAGTTTGGAGAGAGAAAGTGAAGTTGGGAGGTGTGAAGAATGAGGGGAACCCGACACCTCTATTTATAGGCTGGAAATCACCAAAACTCGTCGAGTTGGCCTCCAATTCGTCGAGTTCAGTGCCATATGTCACCATTCTGGTGGCAAAACGTGTGTGGCCTACATTGTGCCACGTCACCCCTTTTGCAGCAGCACACTGCCGACTTCTGAACCCCGTAACTTTCGCATACGAGCTCCGTTTTCGACGTTAATTATATCCACACGTAGGTAAAAACAAGATCTACAACTTTCATTTTGACTCCGTCGGCTAATTCTCGACCGACCTTAAATTTAATAGTAGGAGGAGATTATACTGCTAAATGACCGCGAAAAACTCGCAACTCCTTCATACGGACTCCGTTTTCGTCTGTCTTTTTATCGTTGAGTTCCTATTAATGAGATATTCAACTCTCATTTAGGTCGCGTAGGCCAAAAACCGCTCGAACTAAAATTCGAGTTTCGGGCCCTGCACTACTATGCTAAATCTTAGAAAATTCATAACTTCCTCATACGAAGTCAGATTTGGGCCTTCTTTTTATGGACGCTCTCGGTTTAACATATTCTACGACTTTTGTTTAGATTACTAAGGCTAAAAAGTCCTCTATCATAAATTCACTATTTACGTCTCCCGGTGTCGTGCCGGTTTTGCCGTAAAACTTCGACGGGCCATAACTTCTTCGTTATAAATCGGATTTCGGCGTTCTTTATATGTACAAAACCCTTGTAATATATACTACAACTTGGTTAAGATTAATCCTTCTAAATAATCTTCCATCAAAAACTCATTTTTGACGCTCATTGTCTCTAAATTGACTAGCCCGAATCTGCGGGCGTTACAATTTAGCCTTGTGATGCCTTGCATGATCGTAAAGTTAGCAACTTTATGTGGTAACTTCATCCTAGGAGGTTGGATCTGAAGTTTGGAGCATTGGAATCAACTGGAATGAGTTTAATGAGAAAGAGCTGAAGAACTCGACGAGTTGAGTTGGGATTTCCCGTTTTTGTATACAGAGTAAACTCGACGAGTTGGTGGAACGACTCGACGAGTGGTTAGGGTTTTTCTCCGGTCTTCTAGACTTTGCATGGACTCGACGAGTTAGCTAGCAACTCGGCGAGTTGACTCCGGTTTTCGTGATTACTGAGTACTGAGGAACTCAATGAGTTCATGAGTGCACCCGATGATTTGGGTAAGCTTTGACGGTTGACTTTGGTTGACTTTAGGGTTTTGGTCAAGCTGTGGATTTTGGAGGCTATGGAGGGGCAGAGTCTAGACCTGCAGTTCGATTGTGGGATATATTGCTTACTCTGCGAGGTGAGTCTTCTCACTATACTTACCTGAGTGGTAATACTGTGTGACTGGAGGGTCTTATTTGAGTTATTGACCGGAGGGTCTTATTTGAGTTATTGACCAGAGGGTCTTATCTGAGTTACGGACCGGAGGGTTTTATGTGCTTATACTGAGTTATGTGATATCATGCATTTTGTCTTTGTGATTTATGTTGTATATTATTTCTATGCCTTATTGAGTTAGGACCGGAGGATCCAACCCGAGTTGTGAGACCGGAGGGTCTTCACTAAGATACCGTACTGGAGGGTCCGACCCGAGCTGTGAGACCGGAGGGTATTCACTGAGACACGTGACTAGAGGGTCCTTATCGAGTCATATCCATGAGAGGCTAATTATTTGTGTGTGGTATTTTTGGGAACTCACTAAGCTTCGTGCTTACAGTGTTGTGTGAAATGTGTTTCAGGTACCTCTCAGGATCGCGGGAGGGCACCAGCTTGATTGTACACACACCAGATCGAGATTATGTTTTGAGGATTCTGGGATATTGTCAAACAATTTGTTCTCTTGGGTTTTGAACAACTTATACATTTGGGTTTTGAGAAATATCAGATAGTGTTTTATGAGGTTTTAAAAAAAATGAAAAATTTGTTTGAAAATTTAGAGTGTTACACAACTGTAAGCCAAGGTCTAGCGAGTTCCCCCAAAATAGCCGACACAATAATACATAATTGTAAGCCAAATGTAATATTCCAAAAATAATGGTAAAATTTTTCATTTTCATAACCATCAAATTAATACATTAGATGTTTCAAAACCAATCATAGTAAAAATGTATCACAATCATCAGAGTAAAATAATAAACTTCGATGCGGAAATCCTAAGGGGATGTTGTGCAGTTAAGCCGGGCCATGCCTTTAGAACTGGAAGTACGTGAAAAATATTTAAACCACAAACCGTAAGTACAAAACTTAGTAAGTTTTCCAAAATACCACAAACCATACCAATGGGCCTAATCCAACATGTAAATGGGCCCAGCCCAACGTACATACAAATGGGCCCAACCCAATTATGCAAATGGGCCCAACCCAACATACATATAAATGGACCCAGCCCAAAGTATAATAAATGGGCCCAACCCAACATACATATGCAAGAATCACCAAGACGGTTAGCATCCTACGCAGTATAGTGAGAAGACTCACCTTTCTTACAAGACTCACCTTTCTTACAAGATCAGACAGGCCCCACGTCGTGGCCAACCCATGGCTACGTCGTGGCCAACCCATGGCCACATCGTGGCTGATGAGTTCAGCCCCAAACCAACCTCTCAGTCGTAAGGAAAACCATCGCTACATCGTGGAACACAAATCACCATGTCGTGGCAACAAAAGTCTAAAACAGTCGTGAATTCTCCAGTCCCCACGTCGTGGAGTACAAGTTGCCAGGCCGTGGGCGATGAATTTTCCTAACTTAATGGTTCAGCCCCCAAATCATTAAGCCAACCCTTCATCCATTCCAAAAAGCTTCCTAATAACCATTAAGTCCTAAAGATTGCAATGCTTTTTGGCCATGCATGCCTAATACATGGCTAAAGTTCAAGCTAGGTCAAAAGTGAAGAAAAACACCAATCTTGCGTACCCACACATGTTATGTGTAGGTAGAACCCTGTAATATGTTGGTAGTTGTATTTACTTACACATAAATTTAAGTGTTACTATATGTTGACTCATGATTGTAGATATAGATCATTACCCACACATCGGTTAGTGTAGGTATTAATAAAGCAATACCTACACATATATGTATGGCTAAAACTAGTAAATATGTGTTGGTAAAAGTAATATAGTTTGTTTCGATGGCCAATAACATGGCAAATGACATAGCTAATGGCTTCGACAGTGACGTGGACAACAACGTAAACTGCATGGATGCCATGTCAAGTTACATGGCATATTCCTACAAAACGTTGGTGACATAGGTAATAAAATATGTGTGGATAAAAATACTTTTATGTGTAGATATAATTTATAGATGTATAGTTATCGATTTTGGTACATGCCTGAAAAAATATTAATGTGTTGGTAAATACATACATATTTTTTGTTATTTACAATGATATATCACAAAAATAAAAGTAACAAAATTGATAGTAATAACAACAAATGGATCTTAATAATAATGCTATTGTCATCTCAAGTTTGTACAAAGTTGAACCAAGTGTCTTAGAGGACAAATGTGAAACCAATAAACATCTATTTCTTGTGGCTACCGCAACCTCCTCTTATAAAAGGACTTGTTTTCTAGGACGACTTGACTAATTTCCCCCATGGAAATGGTGCTACTACTAATTTTCCCTAATTTCATTTCATGTCAAGAGTTTCAATATGTTAAATGTCCACCATGAGATCAAAATCTATGTCTTCTTTAGCATAGATCTGCAACAAAATGAGAAAAAAATATTTAAAATATCAAGAAAAATCATGAACGAAATAGATCTTTATTTAAAGAAAGAAAATAGTCAAATACCAATAATTGTGGAGTCAATCCATACACATGCATTATGCTTCCGCAATGGCACCAACACTCCGTAAAACTGAAGGTGATTCCAACTTGAACCCACTGCTTTCATTTTACATATATCAAAAAGAATTTTCCATGTTCAATCACAAAAGAAAAAAACCATATCAAAGAGCCAATAGCAAATCAAAATTATTAGACATTAGATCATATGTGAATTACTCGGTCATAATTATAAGAATGATAGACAAAATAGGCTGTACAAAATAATTGGAAGAACCATAACCATATCAGCATTCTCCACGAGTATGGACGTTTTTTTCGTACTGATTGTCTCAATCTTATGCCAAATTCCACACCAAACACAATCTTGCTTTGTGGTAAACAGAATGGAGGGATCAACTGCATTCAAACCAGAATTAAATAATATAATAGTGTATATATATACCTTATAATCAAAATGATGACGGTCTTCCCCACATTACATACACAGCCCACCCCCCTTTTTCTATATCACTACCCCGTTTATCCAATGCTGACATAGGCTGAACCTCCTGCCATCCACATCGCTCTTACATGATAGATGATACGGCTGAGTAATTAACGAATCGATAACATAGATAAAAGAAAGAAGAGGTAGAAGGTTACCAGATCAAACGATTTACGATCAAATACTCTAAAACACGTAAACCCCAATTCGAAACAAGAAATTGAAAATACCTGAAACTGATTCCTTCACATCGAAATCAGTTCATGATCAGACTTAACACCTTAAGCCTGATCGGTCTTTGATAATTCTCTTCCCAGTGCCATCGTGGATCGTGGGAGACGGTGGTAGTGCGATTTCAATTGAACGATCGTCTCCATCTATAAACCTCATCACCTCGTGAAATTTTCAGCCCTGAATTGAGATTGAAATGATAACAAATGTACCCACGAGATTCCATCATAAAAGTCGCTTTGGCCGAGTGGTTAAGGCGTGTGCCTGCTAAGTACATGGGGTTTCCCCGCGAGAGTTCGAATCTCTCAGGCGACGTTTTTTGTTTTTTTATTCAAGTGTTATCATCTAATTTGCACTTTAATTCTAATAAATTTTATTCGTTGGTGATATTATTGTGATTGAACCAACCGACATTTTGGTTCTCTTTTGTTTTTGTTTCTTTTTAAGATGTTACAAAAGTATATGATTAATGTCATTGGTACATTTTGGTATGCTCTATCTTATTTTTTGAAAAATAAATGCCTTGACTTTTATATACGCAGATTGTAAACCGGACATTAAAACAAAAGACTGATTATTTTTAAGAAAAAACAACAGACTTAAAAAAATATGCATGACAATTTTTTCCATAAAAAAAATAGTTTATGATTATGGAAGAAATCTTTTAATTTCTAACCTAATTTACTGCCATCACCACCTACGCCTCCTTCGCCACCACCACCACCTACTTAATAGGTGTATACGCATTTGTATATAATGCGAGTTTGATCCAAAACACAACAAAATAAGAAGAGGTAAAGGGGTTGCCTCTTGTGCGTCAAGGAGAAAATCTTGATATTGGTTATGTTGTACGAAGGTTGAGGAATACTTAGGGGTGAGCATGGGTTGGGTTGGATCAGTTTTAGGATAAAACTGAATCCAACTCGTGTATTTCGGTTTTTTTGGATTTTAGAACCCAACGAGTTCGGTTTCTGACTGGGTTCGACGTCATTATTTCAAAACTTGGGTTGGGTCGGTTTCAAAGGATTGGTTTTGACAGAGCAAACCCAACTCAAATCAAAGATTTTGGTTTTTAAAATTTTCAACCCAAACCCGGTGGTTTGGGTTCGGTTTTAGTTTCTCAGTTTCGGTTTTATCGGTTTTTGGGTTTTCGGTTTTGCTCACCTCTAGGTATACTAGTAATCCTTGTAATCAACATTGCCAAGTGATTCAAAGAATATTTAAGTATCTCAAGGAACCCATGAATTTTGGTTTCAATTACTTGGGAGATCCTTATGTTTTATAAGGATATTCAAATGCAAGTTGGATATCCAACATGGATGATCTTTCATCTACTATTAGTTGGATATTCATGTTTAGGTGAGTTACAATTTCTAGTATCAAAGAAAGCAAAATTATATTACAAACTCAATAGTAACATCTAAGTTTGATGCATTAGCTGTTGTAATAAAATAGGCATAGTAGCCGGTGAATTTGGTTTATAAGCTTCCATTATGGTCAAAACCAATTACACATATTTCTATCCATTATGATAGTGTTGTCGCATCGTCTAAGGCATATAACAAGGTTTATAACGACGATTTTAGACACTTGGGTGTTAGATATAACATGATTAGAGAATTAATCATGATTGGTATAATCTCAGTTAAGTTTAATAGAACACAACATAATTTAGCAAATCAGTTGACTAAAGTTCAAACCCAAAATGTGACATCCCCATTTTCACGGCCAGAAAAGACCGATTTTGTTTTGTTGGATTAATGTCTAAGCCCGTAACTATATTTGGTATATACTTGACCCGATTATGCATGGTCCTTTTGGGTTGCCTTCACCATAGCAACTGATAGGATGAATTAAGGAGAAAAAGAATTAATTATGATTTATTAATATATTATAAGAATAATATATTAAATGAGAAATCATATTGTTTAATTAATATTAGTCAAGAATTAATTAAGAATTAGTTTTGTGGTTAAAAGAGATTAATTAAACTTAGGGGACTGGAATTGTAATTATAAGATAATTGCAATTGGGCTATGGATCACCTTGGAACATAGGTTGGACGAATTCTACGGGAAGCCCATAAGGAATTCGTCCAAGGGGTGTTCTAAAGGGAGTCCATGGGCTGCTTGGAGCCTAAGCAGTCAAATTAGGGTTTCCTTGTTTGATAACCCTAATAGCCTCAATATATAAAGACCCCCTATGGCCCCAAAAACGTGGCTAACTCTTTTGGAAGAACCCTAGAACGTTTTTGGTGCCTCATCCCTTTCTCTTTGTTCATCCTCTTGCTTGTGGTGTTTGTAAGCCATTAGAGGAGTGACACTTGTGACTCTAAGCTCCAAGACAAGAAGATTCAAGCCATTCTTGAAGAGGTAATCATCTAGATCTATTCTTATATGTTAATTTCGAAATACATATGCTAGATTAGGGTTCTTGAGTCTTGGATGAATTGCATGTACAATAGAGAAACCTAGATCCAAGCATTAGGGTTTGTATGAGCACATAGGATGTTCTTTTGTATAAAACCCATCAGTGGTATCAGAGCCTAGGATGGTTTTTCTAATGTATTTGATACAAAGATTATTGTTCATAGCTGAAAATTTTCGTTTTTTCGAATTAAACCAGATTCACGTCGTGAACAGTGTGTTCACCTCGTGAATTCAGTCTGATAGCACAATTTCGAAATTTTTGCCTTAATTTGCTTTGGATAATTACCATAAATTGTTTTTTTCAAATTAAAATCAGATTTTTCTATTATGGTAATTGATATCCTAATCAAATTAATGGATAATTGTCAATTTAAGATAATTACTTGTTTTATAAGATAAAAATTGATTATTTGTAAATTGATTTGAATTATCTTGTAAGAAATTTGAATTAGGTCAAATTTAGATAATCACTAATTATTTGATTAATTGAATTATTTGTAATTTGATCTAGGAAGTTTTAAAATGTTTCAAAACTTGCCCTCAAGTTTTGGAATTTAAATTTTTGATTAAAGGTTTAATTTTGTAATATTTAAATTCTAAACCCTAAGTTTTTGAAAAAGTTCAAAACTTGCCCTCAAGTTTTGGAATTTAAAATTTTGATTAAAAGTTTAATTTTGAAATATTAAATTCTAAAACCCTAGTTTTTGAAAAGTTCAAATTACACCCTTATGGTTTTATTAAATTAATTAAATGTATAATTAAAAGAGAGTTAATAAATCCATAATGATATGGTTTATATTTTAATTAAATTAAAAGTATACTTTATTAAATTAGACCACATAGTATTTTAAAAGTGTAAAATACACCTTATACTATATAACATTAAAAAGTTTAACATATTATATAAGTAAAGAGTCAGTCTTACCGTTAGTAGGCCTCATTCACGAAGCTGGTCTCTAAGGGGTGTTTATGGAAATTGCCTATAAAATGGCGATTGAATGGGTATCCACTCTTACCCACCGCACTCTTGACTAGTGGAGGGTCGTTATCCGAACGGGTAGGATAGGACACACCCTTCCATTATAAGTATAATGAAATACGAAGTAACTAAACGCTTTTATAAAGTCCCAAATCTTAGTTACTTTAGGAAAAGTGAATTTGATGCAATTCCATGGAATTACACTTTGTACCCTTGTCGAGACAGTTAGTGGAGCGTGTGTGGCTAACCAGTACACTAAGTTGGGATTGACATTGGTAGCAAAGGGTGACTCGATGTTTGTCATAGATCGACGGAGCGGGTGTGGTTAACCGGCACGTCGATTAGGTGACTGCAACATTGAGGGCACCTCGTACATTCGCATGGTTATTCACACCTTATTTGTGATCCTCGGCATCCCAGTCACAAATGAAGGGCATAATCGAGATTAAACATGCCATTGAAAAGTTCAATGAATCTCAAAAGATCTAGGAGTTTCAATTCATATAAAAGTTAATTTTCAATTTTCGTTTTTCATGGTGGAAATTGGTAAATCGTCATTTACCTACCTTCAAATTTTCTGCAGTTTGGATTACGGCATCCCTCTTCCAAATTGTAGAATATTGTGTTGGGTCCTAGCATTAATATCTCATTTGGGTGTTTTATTAAGGACTCAATCAACTAACTTGAATTTCTCCCGTTTTGTAGATGTCAAAGTCTGACAAATATGGTCTTCCAAAATCCTTAGAAAAAAAAGTTTTTCACATGAAGATGATGTTTCACGATTGGATTGTGGAAATGAAAATCATGCTTCACTTCCTCCACATCCTCCGATAATTCTCCCTGACCCACGTGTTCGAAGACTTGAAAAGTTCAAGGTCACTCAAGACCTATTGGCGAAAAGACACGAAGATGGAAAGTCAGTATGCGCTCATATCTTGGATATGAAGTTGCATATTGATAGATTGGAAATGTTGGGCGTTAATGTCTCGGAAAAGTTGAGTGTTGACTTGGTTCTTCACTCACTTCCCGAATCATATGGTAAGCTCGTTAGAGAGTACTATATGATGGACCACGACGTGACCCTCATTGATTTGACTTATTTGCTTATTGCTGCTGAATCAGAAATGATTTGGCGCACTAGTCGAGCAAATTTGTCTGGTAAATCAATATCCCAATCCTCTATGGGCAATGGCAACATTGGAAGTCCAAAAAAGTTTTCTCTACGCAAGAGAAAGGTTGAGTCTGAGATTGTCCCGTGTGCTATTCCGAAGAGGTCCACTTGTTTCTATTGCCAAGAAAAGGGGCATTGGTTACGAAGCTGCCCTGACTACCTGAGAGATCTAAGTGATGGGAGAGTCAAGATGTATGACTCTGCTTCAGGTAAAATCCACTATCTAACTCTATTAAGTTCCTTTTTTAGATTCTTAATACATAATGTGATATGATTACATTTGGGGTTTTGTAGGATCGAAGAAAAGAAAGGAAGCTTAAAAGAAAGAAGTGAGCTGAATCTGGTCATGAAGAAATGGATTTCGATCGCATGATTCAAAGATCGAATTTTGTAGCTGCTACTTTAGAGTTAGGACAGATTGCTAAATAATATTTACATAGTTTTCATGTGTAATCGCATTGTAAGGACAAGATTTTTCCGCAATAAAATAAATTTTGATTTTTTCTTATTTATGTTTCCTTGCGATGGATTTTATGAGAATTGGTGTTTGAATTGTTAGCAATATTGTGAATGGATTTGATTCTTAGTTATGTTATTTGTGGTAATGTCAGAAATTTACCAAATAAGGAAAGATTCTCATCGCCCAA